TGTCGTTCATAATTGAGCACAGGAGCTTCATCATGTCTCTTTCATTCTCGGGTTTTGTCTTCTTTGCCCGGCCACCAAAAATTGATAGGAAGGCAGACGCAAAGACATTGTGGCATGCAAAGCCCAGCCTTCAGAAGTAATTTGCAAAAATACAATCACGATTAAAAAAATCAATTGATTGAATTCATGTATGTGGGGGGCGCTTTACCACAAGTAGACTTTGGGAACGGGGGGTCCAGTGATTGTCGGTGAGATTTGCCTGTCCTTGGTCCGACGGTAAATCAAAGACTGCCGTACAAAACCACTGCCCACAAGAGTTGCGAGTTAAACCTCATCCAAGTGACATAAACCACGTAGATGTTTCTGCACAGCGCAACCAGCGGTTGAGTGCGGGAATTTTTGGTTTGCCAGATAAAATGATTTCAAGAAAGAGAGAAGAAGCCATCTCAGCAACCTTCTCAAGAGGTTGACCCCCACAACGACAATACACGGAGCAGTGATGCTTGATGTGAGGCTTCCGCCAATCCCCGTTGAATATATCTAGAAATTGCTTCACTCGCTCTTGTCGCTTCTTTGACTGCTCTGTCTCAGGAGCTAAGAGCAATCCCAACATGCGTTCAGCATACCTCCTGTGTTCAGGCTTCGCAGGCTCAAAAGAAATGTGGATGTTGCGCTTGATGAAGGAAACTGTGGCTAGCAGCAAATCAAGGAAGGTGTGCCCATAGGAAATAACATTTGCTGCGCAAAACCTTAGAAGCTGGCAAGCTGTGCATCTAGGCCTAGTCTAGTCCAGAAGGTTTAATGTAAGTGAAGTGAATGTCAAAATCAATGTCAGTTCCAATCATAAACAAAGTCGTAGTCTAACTAAATGAAACGCAGGTCAGCCTCTACTTGGAGAACTTGTCAGAACCTTTTTGGCTGATTTTGCATCCCAGGGACATGGAACTCAATCCTGTCGCTCGCCACACAGTCTCCACAGCATGATGGGTTTGATGCCTGAGAAGGTGGTTTAGCATAGTGTACACGGTCCTATCTACCGAACAGCCTCCGCCTTTATATTTGACTCTTTCAAGTGGAAGTGGGTCAGGCGTTCAGTACTAGAAGTAAAACCTACAACACAACTATACAAGACAATACCAATGCCTCTAGTTGTTGTTGCAAAAGTCGCCTGCCCTGTCAATGTGCAACCCTTTTCTTTGTAGACAAGAAAAAGCAAAAATAATGTAACTAGTGTATACTGTATACTGTATACTGAGCCAGTCCTCATGATTCATGTTGCATATCCACATCCATTTTCAACCCCAAGGTAAGACCAGCAGATGCATAGATAAGATAGGATAGGCTTTGGGTCTAGTGTAACTCTAACACCGCCCCCCCCACAGACTTCCCTTGATCCCAGTTGCATCAAGCACATATGGTGAAGCAAAGACGAGTTGGGTGCCAAATGATCATGGAGCCACCTAATCATTTTCATATTGGCCGGCCCAGCATCGCTAACGAATGACAGTATGAAGAAGTCAAACGCGGAAGCCCATCCTTGATTTGTCATGTCTCGCTGCATAGATGGATGCGACATGAAACCTGTGACTCACAAAGAAATCACCAGAAAGTAATATGAGGTTATGATTTATGATAGAATACTGTAATTATAGTTATTTATATAACATAAAATATCAAATGCATTGTTCTTATCTGACATCTGACATCTGAACATGTGTTCTATCGTTGAACCATTTCCTCATCCACACATTGATTCATTCATTCATTTGTTCGTTCACTTCATTTCCATTTTGATTTACATGAAACATGAATCGTGTGCCAAATACGCTACACAGGCTACACAACCATTTGAAAATTTGCTTTTGACTGTAGATTTTGACCTTCCATCACTGAATTTAAAAACATTGCCGCTGGCCATTGTAACATAATCATAGTCATAGTCATGGTTACATCATAGTTATAGTCAGTTCGAAAACACTCACCCAAAAACCAAGCATCGTAGAGGGTGGACCACTTGTTTCTTGCAAATCCCATGCCATATGGCCCCAGCAGTTGTTCGCTGTAGTGCTGCAGGACAAGTCACCAAGTGCGCATGCCTTGGAATTCAAACAATACTTACTCGTGTTTGTTGCAAACAGTCAACATCTGTCATAGTCACAGTCATAGTACTACCAAGATTGAATCTGAATTTTTCTTTTACTTATTGTAAACAGCTATACAAATCATATTCACATGATAGATCACACGTCCTCTATGATTTGACTCCCGATGGTTGGATTTGGTATGCGTAGCCAAGCTTTGCGTGGACCATGAGCAAAGACTAATCAATCAATCTTGGAAACGCCCGTTGAACTGGGAAACAGCCCCCTACAAAAGCATTGGCAAGAGACTTTGCAGGTTGCGTTCCAATTGCAGTGATCAACGTAGTCCGGGTGACCTGGGTGCAAACATGTGCAAGCGCAATGCTAATGCTGACTGTGAATGCGATGAGATATGAGTCATGAGTCATGCAGCAAAAGGGACCCCACATCGCAACCTGCAGCAAAGTCGACCACAAAATCTCAAGCTCTTTGCAAACAAGTTGCCAAAACACTGAATATGGCTTCTGCCACACGATCTTGAAAGCGAAGACGTTGCGTTTGGCCTGTCTCATCAAACTCTATTACCAGCCGTCCAACTCGTAGTGGGTGGTTGCCGTCGCTTGAATTTGCCTGCAAGGCCAAAACTGTTGTTGGTGAGGGATGAGACTGTGCACTAAAGATATGCGGCTGGGTCTGTCTATAGCAAAACAAGACGTGGCAATGATGGACCTGTTATTGCCAACAAATGCTAGCAACCCTCTTTGTATCATGTTTTTGTGATGGTTTGGCATCCCAATTGCTGTAGCATAGTCGGCCTATTCTTCTGCCTATAGCCTATAGCCTGTGCCTATGCCCTATAGGCCATGGAAATTGGAGAGAAACATGACGTGAGTCCGCTGCTGTGTAGTGCAACTTTATAATCTTCTGAAACAGAAGTCTGTCAAAGAGTCAAAACACGAAGCCTAATCAAACGGAAACCAATCACAAAAAGGGACGCCCAACGGTTCCAAGGCATTTCATACCAGTGGCCATTCGCTACTTAACTTCTTTTCCTGCCTTTGCCTTCAGCATTGCTTCGCAATACAGATGCTGGCAGTTCATGTAGAACTGTGCAAGTGCAGACTGCACCTCAGCAGAAAATCAAGATCTCTGTAAGTCAAGTCCTAATTGTGCAAGAATTGAAAACAGCCAGTTGGCTGTTTCCAAGAATTGATGGACAACAGTTTCATTGAACGATCAATGATAGCATATGGAAAATCATTCCTGGTTCATTCCTTTTGCCTGGAAATCGCCTGCTCTTCTTGTCAAAAATTAGTCTCAACCTACAATCTGCTTGATTTGGTCCATAGGCGCTTTTGCTACAAAGCCTCCTGATCCTCGCATCCAGTATCCCACAGACCTCAAGGACATTGAAGTAATCGAGCGGTCCGCCAGGTCAACGCTCTCTTCCAAAGCGCTGAGTGTGGGCCACCCAAACCTGGGCAATGAACAAAAACTGAATGCTGCATGCCGCATGCTCCTAGTGAAATGAAACGCGCGCAGTAACGCAACGCAACAACGGTTATACATTCCATTAGGTCCTATACAAGTGATATCAGTAGCAGTGTCCCCCAAATCAGTGCAATCAAGCTGCGACGCCCTCAACAGTGCATCTGGCAGCCATTTCCTATATTGCCCGCGACCAGAAACGGTTGGAACAACGTCCCGTTTCCGCACAGCGTGTTGATTGACGTACTTGTCGGCCAGCTTCCTGACGCAGTGCACTCTACTCTGAACCAAGTCTAAATAATGTGGGCTGAAAACAAATATATAGAATTATTATATATATATATATGATGATATATACATGTGACATGTGTGTAAATTGTTTCACATAAATATATATATATATATGATTGTAATATATATAATATATATATGTTGTTTCATTGCATAACTGAATCAACATAAAAGTGTATCATAGTTGCTGCAACATAACAATTGTACACTACTGCCAGTGCACATGCATTTCACATCTTTTCAAAAAAGACCGGGTGGATCTATCTCCATTTGCATCCCTGATGCTGCTGCTGCTGCTGCTGCTGCTTTTCTCAAGCCCCCTACACACAAACAAGCGTGAAGCTGATGCCAAGGGACACTGCGATGTGTTTTGCATGTCCGGGATCCAGGGCAACGACATCGCTGCGTGCATCATGCAGCTGCATCGAGTTTTGCTCTGGCAAACAAACACAAAGAGTTCTTGCGGAGTAGAACCACACGGCTAGACATCTGTCACAGCCCTGTTTGCTTCTGTCAGTATTCTAGGCACTTCAGACTCACATATGCTGCCCTATGTTTTCATGCTTTGGGAGCTGCAACGTGCATACAGTATACAACAACCAGCCAGGCCATGCTATCATTAGTAGAGCAAAATGTCATGTCAAAGTCCGGCCGGGCAATATTGTAACACAAAGCAATGCCGGATGCAATTCATGAACAAAGACTTAGTTGGGTTAAGTGTGTATTGTTCGCTCGTAACGCACGTATACGTACGTTCGCACGCGCGCTCGCACGTTCGCAGCCTCGCTACCTCGTACGCGTGCACGCTCGCTACCACGAACGCCACGTTCAAAACACTGCTCGACCCCCCACGTTCAATTCGACCTATATTATGTTGAAAACCTTGTTTACGTACTCTTGAATATAAATAACACATACTGTAAATCTTAGGGGGATATACACCGAAGTCCAAAGGTTGAATTTCCAAGCTGTGCGTCAGGATCAGGCCCGGCTTAAGACGAAGGCTATGCACAAAAACTTGCGAGCACAACTAGTGCTAACTAGAGAGTTCTGATTCTGATACATATCACAAGCAAGTAAGTCCTACAGGTCCCAGCAAAGAAGATCGAACGCTACAGCTGGCCCGTGCAACAAAGGTTCTGAAATTGAAGTCTTTGTTGCAGCGCCAGTGGTCAAGAGAACCTCAGAGGAGCATGTCGGCTTGTCTCTAGAAGAGCCTTGACCAACAAGGCAAGTCACTGTCCGATTACGACGCCGCTCCAAGTCCAGACTCCCCTGCTTGTCGTTCATCTCGAGACCCCTTTTGGCGAAAACGGCTTGAAACATGGATATGGTTGCCTCGGAGAGTGTTATCATCTCGCCTTTGGTCCACAAATTCGCGGAGAAGTGAAAGCACAAGCTCCTCGTTCGGACGGGAGGTTGCTTTCATTTATCGTTGGAACCTTTAGTCTTAATGGTTGGGTGTCCTGCAAGTCGTCATCAAGCTCATCGACAGGGCGGTGCACAATCAGAACCTCCAAAGACCAGCACAGGTCGTTCTGCAGTGGCAGCTGTGTACACAAACACAAATCTTCACCAGCCCTTTTTTTCGGCCCTTGCTGGAGGCAAAATGACTGCTGTCGTTGTATTCCAACTAACATAATATACACAGGCCCAAGTTACCAAGTTCATCTTATCTGCCAAGTCACGTGTGGATCAAATACAAGAGCCTTAGATGTCAACTTCGTCAGATCTGGGCGTACTTCAATCAGCTTTAAAGGCCAGGAAGCCCGTGCAAGTTGAAAACGCCATTTCTCACTTTGACTCATATAAGACCACGAGGACTTCTGGTCCTGACAATTCCACGGCCCACATGTGTACATAGTGTGCTTACACAAAAGGTATGTACTACACTAGACTGCGGCACAGCCTGTACAGCCTCATCTTTCTCCACAGCCTCTGCTTCTTCGTCATAACAAGACAAAGCCCAAGCACTTGTGGAAGTCGTTGGTGCAGAGTCTGCAGAAGCCTTTCGCAAAAAGTGAATCCACTGTTTTTGCTGATGCTATGCGCTAAGCATCTCAAATGTCAAGCCTCCTCCGCCTCCTCCTCCTTGTCCCCATTGCCAGTGTTGAAAAAGGCAGCTTCCTAAGTTTGCAGCAGTTTCAGAGTCTCCCATATATTTTGCTGCTGAGGCTTGAGGGCGGTACATCAAAGTCATACTGCTGTAGAATCCACTCCTATAACGTTCAAAAGCTTGATATACACTGTGTACAATGACGATCGAAGTTTCAGAATGTTGCGTCCTTCCCCAAGCCAAGCCGCTGCAGGATTCCTTAGGCGAGCGGTCTCTCAATGTCCAGAGCAACATCTCCAGCCCTCTCCAGTCAAGCTACTGCGACCACGAGCCGCCTTGTTAACGTCAATATCAGTGTTCCTTAGCAACCACAGCTGATCCAAGGCCAGAAGCGACTGTCTGGAGAAGGCTTGTGGAAAAATGCCAGGCCGCAACAGTTTACAGCAATGCTTGATTTTGTAAGGCTGAGACGGCTGAGACCATTCCATCACCAAATGAAGGTTTCCAAAGAAGCCCGTAGAACTTGGATGAACCAGCCGGTGCCCGCACCGAAGACGCCAAGGCTGTGTGGAGGCATCGCGTAAGCCGGAAGAGTGTTCTGGAGTGTTAGTCTGAGTATTAGTCTAGCGTTAGCTAGGGGTGCCATTTTACTGCTAGGAAGTGCTGTCTCTTACAGTGCTTTCTGAAAAGTCTAAAGCCAAGCTTTCGCGACGCCGGTTATGCCGGCTGGGGGGCTGGGGGGTCGCATTATCAACATCGCGCACGCATGTGCAACCCGGGGGACACTGCATTATTGACATCGTGGGTGTGTTCGTCCGTGTGTCCTGCCCGACCGAGACACAGACTGACAGACCGAGATGACACACCGAGACAGACAGACCGAGTCAGACAGACCGAGACAGACAGACCGAGACAGACAGACCGACACCGAGACAGACCGAGACCGAGACAGACAGACCGAGACAGACAGACCGAGACGAGACAGACCGAGACCGAGACAGACAATTTAGATCATGCGTGTGTTCGTCCGCGTGTCCTGCTCGACCGAGACAGACTGACAGACCGAGACAGACGCACCGAGACAGAACCCTGAATGTGAAAGGCTGGTGGTTAGATAGGGCCATAGCGAAACGCTTCTTTGCGCTTGAGCCCGGTTAACATTTCCTCCCGGCTCCGAGAGCACAAGTTGCTAGTTCCCGGCTCCGCGAGCGCAGGTTGCTGCCGAGCCGGTAGGGTGCCTGTATGTCTGGATGTATGTTTGCATGTAGTATGTCTGTATGCATGGATGGATGTCTATGTCTGTATATGTGTGTCTGTTTTCCCTTTACTCTGTGCGGGCGGCTTCGACCACGAAGCGGTGTGAATACCCATGCATAATCCTTCTCATGCAAGCTGAGTCCCAATGAAGGCACTGCTGAGTCCGTCAAGTCTGAGCAAGGGACTCCAGAAACAAGGGTTCCTAGCTTCCAATCGTGAACACGTCACTCCCAACCAAGAAGAATGGCTAGCTACCAGGAGAAATGATCTTGCGCTTTCTGCAAACACTATTTGAGAAAAGCATCATGCGGCACATTCAGAACGAGAAGATGCGGAGATCTCCTGAAAGATTGCTGTACATCTTCCACCAAGTAATTTTTGAATGCTGTGCCGCTATGTTCTGATCACAGCAAATTGAAGTGACTAGCTCTGCCAAGTAGCAATACCGTTCCAATGGCAGTGTGCTCCAACTCACAAATCCTCTTTAAGAGGCGCCCTTTGCCTATACCAGGCACAGCCACAGCGCAGACTTTCGGGCAATCTTCATTACGGGAAACGACTTGCATCTAAATACAAGGAGCCTGAATCATGAGGACCAATGATCTGAACCACGCTGCCTGTCAAGTTTTGCGTTGTTTGTCGCCACATGTGAAGAACTCTCCCCGGGCCTTGTGGCACATGAGTCGAAAAGTCAGCAGAGAGCGAGTGATCCTCAGAAAGCCAGCTTCGCGACTCTGCAGTGCTCGACTCTGCGCCCAGCTTCGACACCGAGCTGCAATTGGCACGTTTTGAAAGGAGATGGGAATGGCATCAAAATTAATGGGCTCCTCACGAGCCGAGCCGAATTTGTCATCATCGAGCAAAAAAGGTGGACCATCATTCATGACAAAAACTGTTGACTTACCGCAGGCAATGCTGAAGCTAAGCCCCGGGCAGTACTGGCAGAAGACAAATTCAGCACATATTCATGATTCATTTCAAACAAATCAGCTATCAAATTATCATCCTTGGCATACCACACTCCAAACACCAGCAAGTAAGTATCACAGTCTAGTCTAGCAAAGAAGCTCCCTGTTTCATCAGTCATTCCTATCAGTCCAGGCATCAGTTGCTAGATTGAATTGGAGCACAATTTCGGCAAGCGGGCCAATTCCCTGGCTCAATTCTTTGAAGCCTGTGGCAGCTTCAACAAACTGCATTGCATCTTTGTGTCTGCACATGTCTGCATGCGTTTGTTGTCTCTTTGACGCTTCCAATCCATTGTACGCAGCCTTCACAAATGGTGGCAAATCTGTTGCCAAGATCCTGCAAATCGGAAAGACAAAAACAAAACAAAAATGTTTAACAAGGTGCCTCATACACATTGATGGTAGCAACGATAGTTCCCAATGTGCTGTTGCCAGTGCTCACAAGCCATGCCGATAAGCCTGCAAGCTGGAGGGGCAACCCCCATTTTGACTAGAATGTTGTGAAACCCTCAACTGACTGGAGGCTTAACTGGTCGAGTTGGCTTCATGTTCCTGGCAATAATGGTGCAATGTCACTGCTCTCACAAAAGCTCTGTCATCTTGTCAAAAAGTTCTCTTGGTTGTGGCAAGAGTTTTGTGCTACAAAGGAGTCTTTACAGATTTCTAGTGTACTCATCTTTTGGTTGGATTGGTGAGGTTTGGACTGATTGATCTCCTATCACATCCATGGTGACTGACAATTTCAAGACCGCTCAGCCTGCAGTAAATCTTGCTTGAAGTGGGTTTGCAAGCTGCGATTTAAGGCCAGAGTATCACAGGGCCTGTATGCTCTTTCTGTCTAGTTGGCAGGAACGTAGAATAACCCAGCTGTGCTGTGGGCTTCCTGCAGCTTGCTACTAGACTAGACAATAATATATTTTGTAAAGCTGTAACAGTAACACAATTCTCGATTCCTTGTGTCCAGTAGCTCGCAAGTTGAAGCAACACCGCGGACTAGCGAGAGCTTGTATCCCCACAAGCTGGTACTGGAGCAGAGTATCTGGAGAGGCATCGTACAGCCGCATGGTTCAGCGACATTCGAAAGCTACGTTCACCGAACCAAAGCAATTGCACTACCAATCTTCCAACCAGCCAGTGGCACATAGTGCCATGAGCAGCAACGGTGAATCCAGCCGCATGGATTTCAATTTTGAAGCTCCTAGTAGCGTCCTTGTTCCCAGTAGTACGGCCAGGAGCCCCTAGCAGCGTCCTTGCTCCTAGTAGCAATGCCCTTTGCTCCTAGTAGCGTCCTTGGTGATCGAGACTTGGCACTGTGATATGGAGAACGTTTCCCGGCAATTTCAGTGCGCGGTCGCAGTGCGCTCCACCATCTGTACCATTCCGAATCAACGGCCTGACAATCTGCATCTGCCTGTGTTGCCTATGCTTGGACCTCAAAAGGCTTTCGATGCTGTGCATTTTGCAAACCTGATCAAGGCTTCCCGCTGTTGTGGTGCCTAGGGCTGTGGTATACGGAAGCTTATCGTGAGCTGTCAACTGTTGGATTGTACGAGTAATCCGACTCCAACTCTCTTGGTCCACCAGCTTGGACTTCCACAAAATAGACAATCAATACCGTCCGCGCCTATGTAGCTTCCAGTGACTACTTTAGTAATCAAAGGGATCAGTTTGGCATCCCAGAAAGTGAAAATCTTCCTCGGACACTAAGGGACTGTCTTCACTGTCTTTGACTGAACAAGAAGAGGAATCAGAAATATACAAAGATATGTAAGAATACCGAGTCCAGTCACATCTTTAAGGCCCACTTCCGCTGGTTCTTGAGCACATCCTCGAAGTGTCCTGACTAGGAACGACCCTGCTGACAAGAATTGGACACTTGTCTCAAAAGTCGCAGTTGTTAAACCGCCAAGAAACGCTGAACTTCTGCACGCTTGTCATAGGCGGCGAATAGCTTGTCACACTGCGACAGTGACTTAATCGATTAGGGAACATCACAGAAGTCACCAAAAAGTTCCTCACCTTGTGCATGAACATTATGCATTGATTCGTTGCAGTCTTGGCATCACTTTCTTTGGCCAGAAGGTCCAAACGTTGCCTGAATTCATTGCCAGGCACTGATTTCAACGTGGCATTCCCTTCAGTCGACCCCCTCAGAGACCTGCCGTTGAGTGCAAAGCATGTAAGTTGCGATGAAGAGAGGATAGACGATCAATGGCAGGGGACCTCCGAAAACCAAGGAATGACAAGCAGAAGGATAGAAGAGACAGGAACAAGGAAAAGAACCAAAAAGTCTAAAAACAAAAAAAAAAAAAACACATTTTTTGGTTTTTTCAAGAAAAATATAAGTTAAGGACCCAAAAATTGTGTTTGTCCAGTCCTTTTGGACTCTCCCTTCCAAAGTGGTCACCTGCTCTGATTTACCAAAGGAATGGACCCGCTGAGGCGGCAACTCCGGGGAGGCTCTCGAAGAATGAAAATTGACACCATGACAATCTTCCCCAGCATTGCCCAAAGATGGAAAAGAATCAAATAACCTCAGCTCTGAAGATATCAAATGCGCGCAGACTCTCAGAAGAGTTAAATCAAGTAGCCCTCCAAAGTCAAAGTAATCAAAACCCAGCAGTCTGAGCCTTGTGAAGCAAGGTCTGGAATGTTCTTCATAATGCTGGCCTTCAAGGCCTGCACAACAAAAGCGAATCTAGAAGTAACATCCAAGCAAAGAGCGTTCATTGACAATTGCCTTGACAATGAACTGAGGTCGTTGACCACAATGTGTATATATATAAATATATGCTTCATGAAACATCAAGACCAAAAGCCAACACTAAAGCAGCAAAAGCAGCAGCGCTCCCTTTTGCATTTTGGCTGGCTTTTCCTTCCATGGTCCTGATTCAAATTAACAGGTGTCAGACTGGGATGGTACCCAAAACCGCCACCGATCCCAACTGACTCTAAAGTGAGCCATGGAGGAAAGCATACACCGGGCACCCTGAGGAAAACGGGTCCATGGGCGTCATTGAGGTGAAAGCTGAAGAAACGGACACAAGTACCCTACCACACCATCCCGTGCTCACAGGGATTTCGGGGCCCACGGCGCCTGTCCCCCGCTCACACCTATGACGGTTGAGTGGCTGGATAGAGTTCGTGAAACACCCAGTTCATGAGCGTGTAGGTCTTCAGGGGACCGGACGCCCGCAGGCGTTTGGCCGGGTTGAAGTTTTCAGGATGAGGATGAGCCAGTTCATCCACCCAAGTGTTCAAGTCTCTTTTCACATGAGAGGGGGCCAGTTGGGAAAGGACAAGTTGCATCAGAATAGCTGCCGTCGGCATCTTCCGGGTGGATTGGCTCAGCGGCAACGACGTTGCCCTGGTTGTCCGAGATCAGGGGTATCCGAAACTGAAGTCTATTGCGAACACCTTTCTCCATCAGGAAAGATGCGAGAAGAAGGGAGCCCAGCATCTCCAATGAGGGGACGTTGGCCCCACATTTGGCCTTCAAGAGGGCCCAAGAAAATTTCTCCTGTTTCATGTGGAGCTGCAACCACCAAGATGTTCCGCTGAGCTATCCCCCAACATAGCTGCCCTCATCACCGGCACTGGCATCACTAGCACCTCGCCAGAGAGAAGGGGGGCAGTATGGAGTAGGTTGGCAAAGCTTCGCGCCCGTCGATTGACAAAGTGGTACAGTGGCTTCGCCAAAGGGCAGGTAGATGTAGCCCATTAGAGTCTGCCCATGACACTGTGCAAGTCCTTGGCCTCAAAGATGTCACCCCTGGCAATACTGAGCAGGATGCCGAGGACCTTGTTGCGTTTCTCCTTGGCCCATTGAACAATCGGTCCAGCCGGTTGGATTACAAAGCCCAGCCAAGTGTTGATGGACCCAAGGAGAGTCTTCTTCCAACTCAAAGGAATGCCCAAGGCGAGGAGCGTCACAAGTAGTGCACACATATAGAGTGGGGCCACTGTTGAGCGAAGAAGCCAGCAGAAGTCATAGGCGGAGAAGTAGGGCGGCCATGCGGCCCCAGTAAAGTTGCGCCGAGGCCATGCCATAGGTACCCGCCTTGTTGACCCACCAGTCACCGTCAATCTGGGTAATCTGGTAGCGCCAGTCGGGTCGATCTTGATCCTGGTCGGCCTTGGTAACATCTGCCTTCAAAAAAAGCCAATGAGTTTCCTCAGTGGACCATGGCCTGGAATCTAGGTCTTCAAAGATGTCGGGTCAGGTTGGCCACACTCCAGGAGATTGGAGCTTCCTGGGTAAGGAGTTCGCACTTGACGTAGTGCGTCTCCTCCTGGTACCTTGGGTGGCAGGGTCAGCCGAAGAGCCGGCCAGAGCATCAGCGGCACGACCGGCCCCTTCCAAAATCGTCTCCTCCACACGATGAATTTCTTTCTCCCATTCCTCAACCTCCGTGGGGTCCAGGGTAAACGAAGTCACCGTTGGAGCATCATCCAGCAGTTCCCAGTCGAAAATGCCAGAACCAGTGGCGGACATGGCAACAGAGAAATGAAAAGGAGGAGTCACGGGAGTGAGGTTTCACTTTGAGTACCCAATCTTGAGCTAAAATGGCAAGGCATTTTGGCTAGTGAAATGTATTCATGAAACATAACCTGCTTTACGCAGGTTCCAAGCACGTACTATATATATATATATAGAGAGAGAGAGATTCACTGCACTCCGTGACCGATTAGAGTGGCCTGGATTGGCACCAATGCTCTAGATTCTTCTGTGTAATGCAGGTATTTCCTGAAGAGAGCAGCCCGCAAATAGAAGCGAATTTGGTGTCCTGGGAGTACATCCAGAGCCAGCAAATGCTTAAGTAGTCTTGAGTCAGCAGGTCCATCAAAGACAAGTTATGGAGAGACTCCCATGTCAAGAACTGCCATCTCAAAGTAGTCCGAAGCCAGCAAAATGACCTGACAGCCGAATGTTGCACTTTCAGTCACAGCATCTACAACTCAAGGCCCCAACGTTAGGCAAAACCCAAGCCAGGCCCAAAGCAATGGCAGTAGCGTTGCGGTCATTGCGGATCTAGGCATTGGCAGCAAAAAGACATGCTTGCTTAAAACTGCCTAGAATTTTGAATCAGGTTCAGTTTGCTCGTTCAATCTTGCCAAACTCGAAGGCCCTCAGCTCACTGCCCACAAACGGTCAGCTGTGTCTGGATCCTAGCACTACACCAAGATGCAACGTTTTCACTGCTCTTCAGGCAGCACTGATCGATCAGGACGTGTGGTGCCCACACCTTTCACCATTGAACACACTTGTCCTTTGTGTTCAGCACAGTGTCGACCAAATACACCCTGGAAGCACAAAGGACACTCCATGCAAGAGAATCAGGAGAAGCACCAAATCCACAAGAGACGGCCTCATGAAAATTGTCGCCAAGTAGTACACATTTCCCAAATTCGACAAGAAAAGCACCAACAAGCTCTTCCTCGGAAATCAAGTCAGTGCATAGACTAGAGCTGAAACACGCCCTTCTCTTGCACACTTGCAATCCAAAGCTCCACCTAATTGTCCGCAAATGAGTGAAACAAAAGCCTCAGGACTGCCGTCGGGCAGTGAGCAAAGAACTTTCTAGACATTCTTGTGGGTGTCTCCAGGCTTCAAAACATTTAATGTATGTACAGATCGGTAAGCACAGTCTTTCATATTTGCAACCCGGTTGCGTACAAAGGCCCACAAGAGGCGGCCCCCAACCTGCACACGAGGCTCTTCCCACTGGCCACAGTGCACTGACAAGTTCTGCTCTTTGAGGAACCTCCCAGAGCGCAGCTTGACTCTTTTGTGCGATCACCTGGCAAGACTTGGTGGAAACTGTAAGTTGGCTTTCATTGGGTGCAAGTTGGCCTGGCTAAAGTCATTGGATGGAAACTGGTCGTCATCCAGGATTACTACCTTGAGAAGCATTCTCCACTCAGAAAAGCTTTGGAGCGTCCACAATCCCTACATCTAGTCCTCCAGTTTGTATGTGTCAAACAGAACATGGTGGAAGCTGGTGTTGCAAAGCGGTCAAGCCCAAGCAGCCATGGTGGTGTGCAGTCGTGGACCCAACACGCAGTTCACCGGATTTCCCAAAATAACTGCGAACTCCAATGCAGGGTCAAAGTAGTCATCGTTGAGGATTTCGATCCTCAAATGAGCCACTTGCTTTCCAAAATGTCTTGACAAAACCAAACTAGCTGAGCGTCTCAAACGTCCTGACTGATTCGCCAGGGCCAAATTCAATCACTCCTTCTCCTCAGCAGCTCTTGACTGCACAGTAAGACGAACGGTGATTTGGTTGTGGGTCAAAACTCTGTATATAACTCTGCTTGACCGTTGGAAATTAACAAATTCCTCTATAAGGGATGTCAACCCACCAGCATTTGGGGTTCCAGGTTTTGACCCACAGCCATTTGTTGAGTCTGAGGTTGAAAGAATGCATAGCGCAACCACTTTCACAAAGCCTTCCCCAACTATTTGGTCTCACTATGCAGACATTGAATGGGCCACACAAAGCACAATCAACAAACCCCAATTCCCAAAGGATTCCCTAGCACTAAAAAAGTGCTCAGAACACACGGTCACAGTGATCCTCCAGCTGTAGACGACACACCGTTAATGCGGTGAGATTTTGTGGTGATGAACAACATGTGGCTCTTGAACAGGGTCAATGAACCTTCGCACTTAGACTAGTTTAGTATTTTTATGTGTGTTCAAGTTCCAATGGTTTGAGTCACACCCAGTTGCCACAAACAAATAGATGCATGGGTGGAGTGTATGCCCACTAAACATGACACTCAACAAACTCAAAACAAGGAACATGATGTTCAAAACCTGCCATACAAACCTGTTGTGTTCTTCAGACTGTGTTTCCTGTTGTTCCTTTCTTTGTTGACCTTTCTTCCCTTTGTGGACCTGTCTTCGTGATGTTTTTTTGACCGGCTCTTCGTGATGTTTTTTTTGGCCGGCTGCTACTTATTTGTTGTTCAGACGTTTTTCTTTTCGATCATATATATTTGTATACATGTCTTTGTTTTTGCATCGTTTTTCTTCGCTACTTTTGTGAAATGTTTTGAACCATGTTTCCTTATATGTTTTTTCAATATATAGACCTTCCTTGCGCTGCTTTACGCTGCACTCTCGTGGTCTGCAGTTTACGGTACGTGGTCGCCACCGACCACCCCATCCCCACACCCCCTAATACTCACTTCGTTCGCCCATCAAGCACTCCAGCCTAGCCTACTGGCTGGCTTTCGTAAAGAAAACAACTGTGTATTGTTTAATGTGTACCTTTTAAACTTGCAACTGGAAATTTGCATGTCGAGTTGTATTCTTGCGCTTTTCATACTCTCATCTGATCACTTATAGACTGTAGCTGGAACCGGGGAAGCAAGCTTAATTGGGCATGTTCACAATGCAATTGAAGCTCGAAACTCAAAAACCTCTACGTTTCCCAAAATCTCAGACCAAAAAGCCGGTGCAACGTCACGATCGAGCGCGGACCGCAGACCGGAGCAGTTCTAGCTATAAGCCCCTCCCGCTGCCAAAGACTCAAGATCCATCGACGCAGGCACGCTTCCAGGACGACTTGGCCCTTGCCGTTTATGCGTCCATGAGCCCTCTGCTTGAAAGTCAGGTGAACAGAAGCAAAGAAGGAGCCAATTGAAAAACCTTACAGAAGTCCAAGGATGACTACCTATGATTCCACAGTGCACACACTCGGGAAAAAGTACGTACGATATGAACGCACCACCACCGAAAGGCCTAAGCAACAAAAAAACTAGATAGAACGAGTGGTCACTAGCTGCATCTTAAATGCATGATATCAAGTGCTTTGGATGTGGGATGTGGTGCATAGGAGGGTGCCTGCGATGGACTTGTAATAGCTGATGACGGTTCGGCCTTTCCTCCAGTGCTTCTTGGCTTTGAGGAAGACAACGCCGTGAGGTATGTGGAATTGTTTGCGGAAGCCCCATGGATAGGAGCGTCGAACGTGGGGAGGGTAGGAAGTGGTGAGGAAATGTCTGTCGAAGTTGGTCAGTGTTATAGCGAGGGAGGGGTTGGAACAGTTGGGGTGTATTCCATGTGGTAAGGCAGCCGTGGAAGTAGTGCTGTGGGCAAAAAATGCCTAGGTGTTGTAGCTCATGGTCTGTATGATGTAGTACGAGTTGGTCTGCCAGAAAGTCTGGAGTTGAACGACATTGCGGAAAGTGAAACGTGGCGTGCGTCGGAGATGCTGAATGTGTTGTAGTTGTGACCTTGGTGCTGGAGAAAAGGTAGGTGGTGGTGTTGTAGAGCTCTAGGTAGACAGTGATGTCGCAGCCATTGGGTGAAAATGGCTTGAAATTGGGAGAGATATTGAGTTTTTGTGGGAAAGAATGTGCGTTCATGTTGGCATGTATGAAGAGTCGGAGGTGGGGTGGCAATGCCAGGTCTTGTAAGGTGAGAACGTAGTGACCATCAATAAGAGGGGTGTTGTCTGGATCTTGGGGTGGAGAAGTCTTCTTCCCATTGTTTGTCGTTGTAGAGCTTGGAGCGAAGAGTGCGGTGGGCTACTTCTCGGATACGGCAAGTGGGTGGATGGAAGGGAATGACGTGGTGGAAATGTGAGTGTTTTGAGCCATTTTTCTGCATCGGAGTAGAATTGTTGATGAGCCAGGAAGGGTATGGTGTGTGGTTTGTGGTTTTGGGGACAGTCAGGTTGCGAAAGGTGAGTGCGGAGTTGATAAGGTGGAGAACTCGAGATCTGTCTGGTTCTTCCAAACAGGCGGCCATGCGCCTCATGGCATAAATCTCGAGGTCTGTGTAACGGCCACTACGAATCGGCTTTCCTGTTTCAAATCAAAAAATAACGTGTGTTTGCTGAGTTCGCATAGGGTGGTGAGAGCATGTAGGCGTTCGGTGGTATGGTTGGTGGTGCGGTGGCGGCGTCTGAGTCGTTGAAAAAGGCGCTCGTGAGTGGCCATCCGAGCAAAGCGGGTGGGGTGTTTGGCGAATTGCCACCCCGCTGCTTTGAGGTGTAGGTCTTTTTGGATGGGCCAGTTCAATGTAGGTTGCCAATCTTGGATGTGAGTCCAGGCTTGGTCATACGTGTCGTGGTGCGAGAGGTAAAGTGTGCTGTAGTGATGGAGGGTATGGTTGGAGTGCCAGAGGAGTGAAAGCTCGGCTGATATGGGATGGTTGCTTTGTAGTTAGTTGAGTTTGTTTGGCGTGTCTGTTGTACTCGCGTTTGGCAATGCCGATGCCTGTGGAGCCAACGTAAGTATGTCTGTGTTGGTGATATTAATGCTTGGTGGGGTGTTGGTTGTAATAGAGTTTGACGCAAACAGCGTTGGGCTGTGAAAAGGTGTGGTAATGGTAAGTGGCTGGAGTGACTTGTAGTCTATTGAGATAAGCGTTGTCGCCATCGCTTGGAGTTGTAGGTGGGAGATGGAAAGGTGAAAAGGCTTGTGATGTGTATCAATCCGCAAGCAAAGATTGCATGAGCTTTGTCAATGTGTGGAGTGTGGTGGACAAAATGGGACAGTGCAGTGTGCAAGAGTCCCAGTTGTTGGAGTAGGGTGTGAGTGGGAGCTGTTTAAGCTTGTAGTGAGAGTCAGGCGGCTAAGGCCGAGCCTGCTGCTACAATTTTGAGAATCCGGGCAAGAGGTAAGCCGTATCGTGTGGCGGCTTCTTGGAGTTGCTCCTTGGTGATGCGTTCGTCTTTCAGGAGTTGGAGGACAATGTCAATCTATTGCTGAGTGGAGTGAGGGAGAGTTTTGATCCACTTCTGAATGGCGGGTTGGCTCCATTGGCTCCATGCCACTGGTTGGTTGTCGTGAAGTGTTTGAGCGGTGGGGTTGAGAATGGTGGCTGTGGTATGTGGTGGAGTGGGAGCTGGCGGTGCGAGTGCTGAGGTGGCTGGAGTCCTGTGTGAGGGTGCTGAGTCTGATGGTTTTGTGGGTGTGAGAGCGAAGCTCGCACCCGTTGAAGTTCATCTTCTTGTTTGTCGAGGCGGTCTGTTTGAAGCTGGAGGCGACGGAGGGCTGTGCCTTCTCCGGCTGGTGGTGTCAGTGTTTGGATGTATTCGGTCACCTTTGCGATGAGGGGTGCCATGAATGCTTTTGCGTCGGTGGTTTTGTTGGGAACTGGTTGTTGGTTCTGGCATATACACATCTATATAAAGGCAAACATTGCCAAATTAAATGAAACTCATGGGAGGTTTGCTGTCAATCTTCCAGGCAATTCCTTCAAGTCGAGAACACTTTGGGTCGACTGCCCAGCATCTGCCGGGCGTGTACTTGACCATCCCGTCTCCGTTGACCAGGCAATCATTCGCGGCGCTTTCGCCGCCGTGGGTCACTTTGGTACCTTTGCCAAAGGCCTTGATGGTAAGGATAATGCCGGAGGGGTTCTTATTCCCGAATGCGTAGCGAAGGGTTCTCGTTTAACTCTTGGGGGTCTGGGGGTAGAGCCTTGTTCGTGACCCGTTGGTTCTAAGTTCGCAACCGTCCGCAACCGTTCGCAGCCGTTCGCAACCGTTCGCAACCGTTCGCAACCGTCCGCAACCGTTCGCAGCCGTTCGCAGTAGAGCGCTAAGGCGCTGCCATTGGGGGAAGCTTTTGCAAGTGACTTTTCATGGATGTGTCACGTGTCAGTTTGTGCCGCTATTCCATTGTGATTTGCATGAAAATGACATGCCGCGCAAGAAACCAAATGCGTTTCGCTGCGCAGGCGCAGCGTTTTGTGAGATCTGCAGATTGCTGCGCAGTTCCATTGGGATTAGCGTTTGGAGAGTCGTGTTTTTGGGGTGTTGGATGTGGCTGTGCCATTGGGATTTGCGTTTCAGGGTGTGGCATCGAAGCTCTGTTTTCGTGACAAGTCTCAGCTGAAATGCCGATTTTGGTGGATGGGAGTGTGCTCAGAACGGGTCGAAATCATTCCAAACGTGTGGTGTGGTGCAAATTTTGTTGAAGCTCACATGAGACGATATTGTCACTTTTCGTGGCAGGCGCAGTACTTTGCGCGGCTTTTGATGTGTGGAAGTACGATTCTCATGGCAGGCGCAGGGAATCGTGAGGTTGCGAGGTGTGACGGAGGTGACATTTCGTGGCAGGCGCAGTACTTTGTGCGCGTTATACGTGTGGACGCGGAAAGATTCGTGGCAGGCGCAGGGAATCGGGAGGTTGTGAGTTGTGGTAGAGGTGAATGTCGCTGTCACATTGGGATTGGCGTGTGAGCGGGCGTCGTTTGGAGGGCAGGGCTGCGTGATGTGTG